ATGCAGAGATTGATGATCCCACTACCCGATGGAACAATGTGTTTGTTTAAATATTGCATTTCCTGTGTTCTAATTGGGTTGATGCCCTAATCCGTTGCCGAATTTATATTTTTGTGAAGTCCGCTGGGACAACAGCCAGTGTGATTTAGGGCTGTACAAAATAAATTTCATTGATTTTATTTTAGGTGGAAGTGGAGGGAGAGTGTCAGAAGCAGCAGGTTGAGGCTGCATTTGACTCTGTTTTAAACTACGGTATCATTTTTTTATTTACAAGGTGCCAATAATCAGTTGACCCTTACTGTTTTGCCATAATGAAAATTGGAAGAAAAATATACACTATTCCACCTCAAAAGCGTGGTGGGGTGGCTACTTTGTTGGAATATTTTGTGGCTGTGGGAACTGGTGGGATCATGAAGAAGTATAAAGTATGAAAGATCATTAAGTTAAAGCATGGATGGAAATGGATCTTCAAAAGTTCAATGACCCATGTGTGTGTGGAAAGGGTAAGTGTGTGACCTACAAACTTGACTGAGCTATGCCAGTTCTGTCAGAAGTTTTTTAATGCTTTTTAACGATTTCATTTTGGCAAAAAAAAAAAAACAGACCTACGGTTAAGTTAGATTGAAATAATCACTGTAAATTTTTTCGCAGATATCCATCCATCCATTTTCTTCCCCTTAATCCATTAATTAGTACAGCTATTGTTCACTAAACTTGTGCTGTGTGCTCCTCTTTCCTACTGTTCTATAACTTGTGATGCAACACTGAAATCTCCCCACTGTGGGACGAATAAAGGATCCGAAACGCCTACATTCACTGTATAAGTACAATAACAACGGTTGAGAATGTGCTCATTGTGATACAAACGACAACATAATTGTACCAGTGAAACGGAAAACACCAGAAGATTATGGGACTTGAAGGAAGAAGGTGGCAGATCTGAATCTTATATTATCATCCTCCATATCTGATCCATCTCTCTTGGTGTTTGAGTCCTGAGTCACCTCCTATGAACTCTCTGGCCTTTTCACTCAGTTTTACCCTAACTCACTTTTCCTGTCTTCAGCATCCATAACCCTGGTGCCCCCTTAAGCCATATGCCACAGACAAGACGGGAGCAAGAGTCCGGTTGCTCAATATTTCACGGCCAGGGAGAGGATGTTTTATTCAGTGTCAGAGTCCTGCTGCGTGCCACTCATAACACATGCACACGTCGCTGAACGAGGGTCAAAAGCCGAGGACAGAGGGAGGTGTGGCTTTGTATGGATTGACAATATGCTTTTACAAACACAATGCAGACAATAGTTCAGCGAGACACACAGACAACAACATAGAATTTCACATGGTTTGGTTATATAAGTTTTATATGTTATTTTCCATATTTGATAATGTCATGTCTCAGTATGAACCTCTTTTTGAAGATGCAGTCAGTGATTTTTTTCCAGAAGCATTTTTTTTTTTTAAATATTGCGGGAAAACGTCCCTAAAACCTAAAAGCAGTCAAGTTATCATGTGTTTTCAAATAGGAGCAGACCGATAACCGATGGGACTCGTTCATCCCCAACGAACCAATGGGATGCGTTTACCCCCCTTCACCCTCTTCCTGTTTCTTGCGAGTGCGCACCTGAGTTATCGGATTTTCTAAAACCTAAAAAGGCTGAACAGAAAATGCCAATTTCACGTTTGTCACCCACTCTCCCTGTTGTGACAAAGAAAAGAAAATGCTGGATGTTTGGTTTGGTGGAGAGGCGAGGGGAGGGGAGAGTGGTTTCGAGTTGATGCTATGGCTAAGCTAACAACATCGCTTACTGCACCTTTAAATGTAGATATTAGATCTTTTTCAAAGCCTGTAAATGTAGACAGAATGTTGTATGAAGTATTATGTACATTCTAATTTGGAACAAACATACCCAACAGACATATTCTTCTAAAGGTTCTGAATCTAAGACAGTGAGTACTCAGTAATTGGCAGCATTTATTGTAAAAGGTAACTTTCTGATAAAGAAAGTGCGACATTGTTTTATGATTTTAAGAAAGCGTTAGTTTCCATGGCTACAGTAGCACAACGTGTGGCTATCGAACAGACTGATGACTGCTGACACAATACATGAACAAAAGGTCACAGTTTCAAAGTTAGGACACACAGTAAAATAGTGAAATCAGCCTAATCTTAGGCTGATTATAATTAATGAAAAATACATTTTCTTTAATCTAAGTTGAATAACTAGTACATTTCTATTGTCTTTAAATACTTAATATGAAATGGTCCAATCAAGATATATCACAGCAGTATCCAATGCTTAGAAATGTATTTTTGTGGTCATGTGCTCTAGTTGTTTGTAGAGCGATTCACCACATGTTTGAGAAAATAATGTTCTCTTTTACAGGTACCTGAAACACAGTTGTCACAAAATCTGACAACTGCCACATTGTTCTGTGTTTGTGATTTAAGCATACACCTGCTTATCATTACAGTATTTGAGGTGACCAAGTTTCACTGACATTGAAAAAGAGCCAGGGTGCAGATTCATCTAGTGAGATTAAATACAGCAGTTTGCAGACTTGTTTTGATGATTGACATCCATGTCCTTGTATGTATTACTTACTTACTGGATGCACACTGTATACAATTTAGTCTTTCCTTGCAAGTAACCTTCTGACCCTTTCAGTTTGACAGTATTCATATTATCATCGTTATCATCGCATCAGTTAATGCGACTGTCAGTGCTTCATTACCTTTTACTTGAAGTAATTTTGCATTGGCTGTTGCAACAAGCAAATGCTGTTCACGGTCACGTCTGCCCCTCAGACACACTCAGTCAGTTAATTACCAGCACATTGAGCAGAATTAGAGACGAGCACAAAGCTGTCTGGTCTGGAAAAGACGTTTACCCTTTGCCAATCATAATGGATACCTGGCATAAAACTCATTGATTATAAAAGGTTTCAAGGTGCATACATTCGTTTATTGTTAAATAATTTGTTTTTCAAGTGATTCATTCTCCAATACATATTACTATTAGGGCAGGCAAGAGGCCCATTTGTCAAATGTGTGCTTTATTTGCACATTTCAGTAAATATTGAGCCTTTTTGGATGTGTTCTTCCTGTGTTTCTTGAATTTGATTTCTAATGTGATTATATGTTTGTGTATGTTTTGCAATGATGTGTGAAGCACTTTACAAATAAAAAGCTGCTTTTTTGATCTGTCTATCTATAGAAGCCCTGACAAGCCAAACATTGCAGATCATTTTGTGTAAATATGATAGATTTTAAAGATATTGTGACAATATTGTTATCGGGAGTTGGGAAAAAATTATCAAGATATTTATTTTTGCTCATATAGCCCACCCCTAAACAGCAGTTGCCTCTGAGAACTTTACAAGGTGTCATTTCACCAACAACTAGGGCTGGGCGATAAATCGATTTTAATTATTAACTCGAATGTGACGTTTAGGGCAATTTCTTTTGAATGATTTTTATTTATTTTTTCTCCAGCGCAGATCCACTGTGCTAACACGCTAACCGTGAGTCTATGGTGTTAAGCAGTCATTTTTAAAGCTAACCTAATGCTAACAGTCTCCCTCTGGCCTGACGCTCGCTCTCATAGTTGGTGCTGTTGCAATAACACTTCAGACAATAATCAGAATCAGACTTTATTTAATCGCACACACACACACACACTCACACACACACGCACGTACGCAGGCAGGCTCCGGTCAGTACCTGTTAGCTACAGTAGCAGAATGTAAACAGGAAGAGAAACGGAAACTTAACTCGCACAACGCGGTAGTCGCTGAAGTTAGTATTAGCGCCACCAGCTGGACCGAGCGTTGTACTACAGCAGTTACGCATGAAAACCCAAGGAGGAGGCTTTTGTAAAAGACTTTCTCTGTTATAACATTTGTATTTTGAGTAATCAGTTTTAAAAATTTAATATTTCATGTAAATAATGCATGTGTTTAATACAATTTGATAAATTTGCTATGGCCCTCGTTTGTGCATTTTAAGTTATTTCGAAGGTGCATTGTGTCACTGTAAGTGAAGTTATTAGAAGACTGTTAAGCTACATTTTCACTGTTTACAACGGCAGGGCCATCTCCTTTACTCACATGTTTTAAGGATTATTTCCTGCTACACTTATGCTCCATGGGGATTTAGATTAAACTGCATAAAGGAAAATCTATTTCTTGGTCAGTTGTAGTTTGTTTTTGAATAGAAACAAATAATTGATAATTGGCCAGCTCCACCAACAACAGTAGAATCAGTCTATTTTAGCTTGCTCATGCAGTAAGCCTGTATGGAAAAATATAACTCTTAAAATGTAAAAAAATAATAATAATACAAAAAAATCCACATAATAAAAGTAAACCATGTAGGGCATTTACTGTAGAAAGACAGGTTTGTAAATTACAGTGCTTTCTGAATTCTGCTGTAATGCACAATTGTGTTGATTACATCTCTGTCCAACGAATGCCAACCCGGTCAGGTGAGTTTTAAAAGGATGAAGGCTAAAGATAAATGCTTACTGAATAATACAAGAAATGGCAGCCATTAAAACTACAGTAAGTGCCAGAGGTGGGACCAAGTCATCGTTTTGCAAGTCACAAGTTAGTCTCAAGTCTTTGCCTTCAAGTCCCGAGTCAAGTCCCAAGTCTTTGCCTTCAAGTCCCGAGTCAAGTCCCAAGTCAAGACAGGAAAGTCTCGAGTCGAGTCACAAGTCCTATCGTTAGAGTTTCGAGTCCTTTTAAAAACAGAAAAAATATTTAAACAGATCATGTATGCCTTTAAGATTTGTATATATTTATTAAACCTTTTTTTTACAAGAACATTGTTCAAACACTCATTTAACTCAGACATTCATGCCTCTATCAGAGAAAGAGCGCACGAGAGAGAGAGAGAGAGAGAAAGAGAGCGTGCACGCGCGAGAGAGCGAGAGAACTGGATTAGAAGTGTCATGAACATAACAATTAACAGAGTTGTGCTTTTCTATGCAAGGGCCCTATGCTGCATTGCATTTGCAAAATATCAAATTGGCCAACAGTCTGTCACTCATTTGAGCACGATGGGGGCGTAGAATGACACCACCATGGCTGAAAACTCGCTCCACGGGAGCACTAGAGGCAGGCACTGCTAACACTCTGATGGCCACTCGGTAGAGTGAAGGAAGAGTCTTCATGTTTAGTGTCCAGAACAAAAGGGCGCTCTCTCCATCGGCTATGTCTAGGTAGTGACTTAGCTGTAGTGCTGGAGAGGTCCCGACATCCTTCTTCTGCCTCTTACGGTATGCACCAAACAGCCCTTCTCCTTCACCAAGGTCCTCTTCATCACCAAGAAGCACAGGTTGTTCAGTCTCTGCAGCATCTTGCAGGATCAATTCTGGAAAAACAGTAGCAGCAGAAACAAAATAGCCTTTATTACCATTGGTGTTGGTGATACAGTGTTGGACTGAAAAATGCAATTATTGATGCTGTCAATTAGATCAGACGAAAGTTGCATTAAAGTCAATGGTATTTACCTTTAACTTGTTGTGCCACCTCTGCCTTGATGTCACGATTGACCAGCACATGAGGCTCCACCCACAGCAGAGAAAAGGCTGGATCCAAGACGGCTGCTTTCAGGTAGACTGGGTCTGAAAAGGGGGCAGTGATCCCATCTTGACTCCTGGCCATTTTCACGTTAATGAATATCCCAAGAAATCTTTTGTTCAGGGATGCCTGGAGAATTCTGACCAGGCCGCTAAGGAAACGAACTTGAGGCTTTAGCTTCTCAAGGTGATGATTGAGGGACAAGACGGATGGAACAACTGCACTGATTGTGACGACCTTATCACCCTGTGTCAGATCAGTTGCTTCTCCAAACGGCTTCAAAATGTCCACCAACTCCTTCAACAGATTCCACTCTCTTGGCGTGAAACACAACTCCTTATGCCCAGCCTTTTCTAGAACAGCACAGAGTTTTAGATGATCACAGTGGAGAACTGCCTTCACTTGCCTCAGTGTTGAGTTCCATCTAGTGTTTACTGCAGCAGGGATGCCTTTCTGTTCCCCAAATTCACTATCAAACACATCTTTGAATGTTGTGCTTGTGTGGAGCAGTGAGCTAAGTTTTGATAACTTGGAAAGAGAAGGACATGCCACTTTTGTTTCTTTTAAACCGTCTCCCACCACCAGCTGAAGCGTATGCGCAAAACACTGCAGGCGCTGTTTCCTTGACATAGCAGCATCTACCGTTTGCTGTTCTTCAAGGGATAAGTCACACCAGACCAGAGGGTCATCAAGATGATCTTTGTCATCATCCTCTTGTTCACTGGGGAAGCACACAGTGAATGCCTTTCGCATGTTAGCAGCATTGTCACTAATAATGTAGTCCAATTTATCTTTGATGCTGTATTCATCGCATATTGCCTCAAATTGGTCACAGATTCGTTCAGCTGTGTGTGAGCCTTTGAAGCGATTGCAGGCCAAGAGATTAGTCTTTAGCTGTATCCTCTCTGTCTCTCTCTCTATCCAGTGGACAGTGATACCAAGGAATCCCCTCATCTTTCGGTCAGACCAAATGTCCACAGTGACTGAAACATGCTCAGTGTTGCTCAATTGAGTTTTTAATCTTGAACGTCTCTCCTCAGCGAGACTTTCTGTTTTTGATGTCATCGTTCTGCGACACACTGGGCTGTACTTCTTGTCAACTACTGTCAAAAAGTGCCGAAAACTCTTGTTTTCTACAATAGACAGGGGAAGGTTGCAATCAATTATCAAGTCGTACAGTATGGCGTTAGTGATAGCTTTCTGCTGTGGATGACTCATGCTGTAATAACCCACACGACCGTCCAAGAATTGTGAGATTGAAGGCTGTTGTGGTTCATCTATGATGCTTTTATTCATCTGGTATTCTTCAAATCTGTAACAGGTAAGCATATAAAACAGATATCAGAAAATGCTAGCATTGTGTTAATATTATGTTTTGGGGTTAATATTAATTATATTGTATACTGTAAGAGTGTGTATGTTTTAACATCACATTGATAAAATTTGTTGTACTGTATAGTACTGTCATTGACGACACATAGCGTTACATCCAAGTGTCTTGTAGTTTATTATTTCGGTATCTGTATCAGACAGCTGCGGCCATTTCACTCCTTACACACAATTCATTGCAACACATCACTACCATGTATAACTCCGCCCTCTAGCCAGGCCTATGTTCATATCAGTGCGCGGAACTATATACTACGCTAAAACATGGTTAGGGGAGGATTGAAAAAAAAAAAACGGGCTTGATACGGGTTCGGGCCATGGGGTTCGGACAATGGGGTTCGGGCCTGAGAATTCTGAAAACCTGTTGGACCGGGCCGGGCTGGCGCTCCACCCCCTCGAGCCCAGATTATAGTCCCGTTCATAGCGCTAGCAGGGGGTAATTCCAAATTAGCCAAAAGCTCGAGACTGGACCATTTATCAACATTTTTTATGTCAAACACTCTTTCATCCAAAACAACCCATAAAGGGAGCTTAACGTGCAAAATGGTGAACTTATACATACATGAGCCCTCTGGAGATACAGTTTACCACGTTTTTAAGTCAAGGTGGTATTAACAGTGAGTTCACAGTCTGCACAGTCTCATTAATATGTAGTTAGATAGCAGCTCAGTTACTCAGACAACAAGCTAGTGTTCAAAACTTACCGTTGTTTGTGTAACTTCAAATGTCGTACGAAGTTCGAAGTTGTCGCGTCTCCGTCTGTTATATTGCTTCCGCATGTTTTACAAACGGCAGTTCTTTTTTTGTTAATCACCTGGTAGTCCTTGTACCCAAACGAAACAACTTTTGGAATCATTTTTGCTCCTGTGCACGCGCGTTCAGCTTGTTCCCATTTATCGGTTGTCTCGTACTTTTGATTGGTTGATGCTGTCAGGTCGAAACAACGTGGATCTAATTTGATTGGATATCATACCATACACACTCCACGCTGCGTGACTCACGCACACAGATGCACAAAGCAGGTGTAAAGGGAGAAAGAGCGATCAGTGCCGCGTGAACATACTTTTTAATCTTTGGGTTCGAGGAAAGTAGCAAGTCTTTTCAAGTCAAACGGGTCAAGTCCAAGTCAAATCACGAGTCACTGATGTTAAAGTCCAAGTCGAGTTGCAAGTCTTTAAGATTTTGTCAAGTCGAGTCTAAAGTCATCAAATGTATGACTCGAGTCTGACTCGAGTCCAAGTCATGTGACTCGAGTCCACAACTCTGGTAAGTGCAGTGAAGGAAAAAATAGGTTGTGAACAGAAGAAACCATTTGTCAAAGCAATCCAAAAGTACTTTCTTCCTGTGGTTTTCTTTTTGGTAATGTTGAGCCAGTTTCTAATTCAGAGGATTTCTAAAAGAAAATGGTAAGTTTCAGCTCGTGAGCATACTGTATATCAAAAAAATCTTTTCCTCCAATAATCACATTTTGTGCTGCATGACTTTGTGACCACAGGCAAAGATTTGATGTTTATATGTTTTTTAAATACTACATGATGCGTGATTTTTTTTAGGGGGATTAGAGAAGAACAACCAAAAGGTAGCACGGAGGTGTGTGTGTGTGTGTGCGTGTTCGTGAGCGACTGATGGGAGACAGAGAGCCCTAATGCACTGGCTTTTATATATAAAGCCACGCATGAAGCTTTTATAAGCTTCCCTCCGCGAGTCTTGTCCTGGGAATTAGCCAACACGACTCCACTAACACTACCTCTCTTTGACGAGAGTTCTTAACAGGCAATTATGTGAGGATGAAGACATTGGAATAATACGTCTTATTATGTATTATTAACATATTTATAAAAATACAAGGTGCCATGTGTTATATACATATATGCAAAACAACGACACATGTTTGACCATCTTCTTTCAACAATTATTTTTTTGCATCTCTTACCAATAATCTGATCATCGGTCATAGTCCCAAATATACATACACCAGAAGCACGACTAACAGATGTAGATAAAAGTACAAGATGTCAGGTTGCTATTTAGCACACACAGTTGGGCTGCATGATATACTGTAGCAAAAAGATATTGTCATTGTGATATTGGTACGTGCGATATGTAAGGGATAATGTATCATACACAGGTCATTATTGGAAAATAAGTACCGACAGGACGAAGCGGACTGGTCTGCTTCCGTTTTTTATATTTAATTATACTTGTATTCAATATAAGGATTCCTTAAAAAATGGGCATATTGCTGTCAATCTATGTTTTGCTGCTGTAGACATTGTCAAAATGATGTGGCGTTTGGTTGGAGTTTTTGTGACGGTGGAACAAAGCTTTAGTATTGCTTTTCATAAGCTACATTGATTACATTTGTCCACAAGATGTCAGTGTTACAAGCTAGTCTGAGCGGTTTGAGCTAGCTCAGAGGCTCCGACACATTTGAACCAATCTGACAAAGAAAGCCTCACTGTATTACGGGGCTTCATCTGCCCATCACTGGTCGATATTTTTCTCAGAACTGTATTTAAAGGACAACTCTATTTTTGCTGATAGACGGTATAAATGAGTGTCCAATAGTGTTGTCTACATATCCTCGTCATAATCTTGTCACTTTGGTGCAAATTAGTTGAAAGTTAAACTTTCTGCACCGTCGTGAGGCGCCATCTGCTGGCGACCTGTATTACTACATTTGAATTTTGAATCTGGCGCCAACACTGTTGGCGCCAGACCTGACGTCTGAAGCAAGACCTGACGTTAGCAGCCCCCCGCCCAGAGCTATATAAACGGCCCAGTCTCGTTCACGCCCCCTTTAGTCCTCCAGGCTACGCCCATTTAGAGGAAGATTTGAACAGGAAATGTGAGTGACGTAAGCTCCGAGGAGCGGGGGTGAGAACCACTTTAAGGACTGAGGTCTGCGGAGCTGTTCATCTGTTCTTCTTTATGTACTCAGTGTAATAACAAGAGGAGACATCAGAATCTGCCTTATGAAGCTCTTCGCGAAAGTTCACTGTGGTAGACCCGGCGCTGCTACAAGCCTGCTCATCCTCTACTCATTACACCAGCAAAACGCCCACTTCTAATCCACCAATAACCACCAGGACAGCAAGTTAAAAGCCGGAGACGCCCACTTTCCCGGCCTTCTGAAGTTTGCAAACTTCTGAAGCCTGCAAGGTGCATGTCGCTAACGCACCTGTTCGCAAATGCATGCGTTGTTCTGGATTCTGGAGGGGTCGCTTCTGCTCACGTGTTGCTCGTGCGCGTGGCCCGGCTGTCCTCAGTCTGGCTGCTCGTGGTCTGCTCCTCCTTCGCGTCCCTGCACCTGCTATGGTTCGCGTGTCTCCACTGCTTTCCTCCTCTGTGGGCTGATCCGCGGGGCCCCTCCGCGGGGCCCCTCTGCAGGTTCTGTGCTGCTCGTTCCTCGTGGTCTGCTGCCGCGCGCAGACGGTCTGGCGGTGCCGTGCAGGTCCCTGCCTCCGATTGGCGGTGCCGCGTTGTCTCGTTGCTTTTCCCAAGTCTCCTGGCATGTGAGTACAGTGAGTGTGCCGACCGCGGACAGATTAATCCCGGAGTCTAGGCTGCAAGCGGCTGGTTTTTGCCCTACGCACTTGACTGCAGGCGTCAGTTTTCGCCCCGTGCTTGGTCTGCAGGCTCCATTTTCACACGTGTTTGAGCTAACTGAGGGGCAATGCATATTAAATGGCATC